CATGCCCATTACCCCTAAATGTTCCAGTGTGTATTTCCTAAGAACAGGGATGTTCTAATATTTTACTGTAATTGCCGAGTCTGGCCCGCAGACTCTGGCTGAGGGATGGATGAATGGAGTTCGCATGCACAGGTATTTTTGCCTTTGAGCACAATTAGGGGACCACACATCTTAGCCTGTGGACAAGAAAGTGCGGCCTCCATAAGCTGAATGCTCGTATTTATTTAGTACAGATTTAATGACAAAGGCCTAGAGCAAACACTATTTGTGGGTAATTAACATTGTCAACTCCCCAAATAGGAGGCAGTCTTGGTTTCCGATAGATAACAAACCTATCTAGATAAATTCCTTTGCACTCCCTGGTTATCTCCCCTCTGCCATTAGCTGTAAGTAAGAGGATTAGGCTGCCTTCAGCCATAACCCTTTCTTGAAGCTTTTGCAAAACCTCCTGGCCTTCCAAGAAGGTTTGCGTCTTTTCTATAATTTTCCCACCACCCTGACTGATCTCCTACATCTCCCCTTTTTCTAGTTGTTGCATCAGGTTTTGTTGAAGAGTACAGATATGTGCAGCAACAGGTTTTTCAGGCACGGTGGCTATAAGTCGTGTTTCGGCTTTGCATCCTAGAATTAGTATATAAGATGAACATGAGTGTAGTCAGTAACATTGTTTTCTAATCAAGAAGTGACATGTAGTGTTATTTGGCACCTCAGTCCAATGTGTGCCATTACTGAGGGACCCCACCAGGGTATGTTAATCCTTTCTAGCCAAGAAGTCAAGTTGTTAGAGGCTGGGAAGGCAGTGTCTGCCTAAGTAACAGGCAGAAAAAAGGCAGATTGAGAAGATGGGCTTAATAGAGTGTAGCGGGTACAGGTAGCAGGCAAAGTAAGAGAATAAAGGAACAAATTATCTGGAGTGAATGGTGTCTGTGTCTGGAGCAGGATTCACTTAGCTTTCTGAGTCATCTTTTTCAGCATCCCCCAGGTAATGTCTGGGCCTGTGTTGTCCAAGGAAGCCACATGGTCCAGGGCTACAAGTTCTGCAGTCATTTCCTTCATTTCTGGTATCAGGTTGGATCCTAGTCACACCATGGTAAGGTTCTATGCATCGTGCTGGAACCCAAAGAGGGCCTGAGGGGGTGTGAACCCAAGTATATCCTCTTCCCCATGTTAGCAAATCTGGACCACATCATATATTACTACTTACAACTTTCCATAAAACTGTGGGTTTTATGTCTTGAGAGGTTTTTGCAGAATGGTTCTCTATAGCTGATTGAAATTTGTCATCTGATTTAAGATATTAAGGGTGAATAAGGCTTGTGCTAGTAGTGTTGCAGGGTCCTTATTTCATATTCCCCTTTTTTTTGTTTTCTGATCATATTTTTAAGGGTGGAGTGAACTACGTTTGCAGGCAAAACTATGGGAGTATGAGATAAGAACTGAGGCAGTTTGCCAGCAGGAAGGGCATGCTCTATGTGGCCTGCATAATCAGAGAGTGCTATCTGAAGATCTGGAGATAGGGGCAATACTGCTTTGAATTGCTTTTTACTCAAAGGAATTCTTATGACATCAGGGTCATAACCTGGCAACAGATTGCATCATCTGTGGCCTATTAGATGACTTTACTAACTAGCTGGATATAGGGAGATAGTGTTTTAGTCCCAGTATGTGAGCAAAATACCTGTTCTAGGAAGTGTAGCCCTGGGGCCATCTGTCCTATTAATCCTGTTGGGGAATGTTTAGTTGGAAAAACAAACAATTAAACTGAATATTTTGGGTCTATGTGATCTAGTTGCCTCTGAGAAATAGCTTGCTCTATTTCCTCAATTTCCTTTTTTGCGGCAGGGGTTAAATACCTGGGAGAATCAGGGATGTATTGCCTGTGTGTGTGTGTGTGTGTGTGTGTGTGTGTGTGTGTTTGTGTGTGTGTGTGTGTGTGTTTGTGTGTGTGTTACGGACTCTTGCTCTGTAACCAGGCTGGAGTGAAGTGGCGCAATCTTGGCTCACTGAAACCTCCGCCTCCTGGGTTCAAGTGATTCTCCTGCCTCAGCCTCCAGAGGAGCTGGCATTACAGATGTGTGCCACCATGCCCAGATAATTTTTGTATTTTTAGTAGAGACAGGGTTTTGCCATATTGGCCAGGATGGTCTCAAGCTCTTGACCTTGTGATCCGCCTGCCTTGACTTCCCAAAGTGCTGGGATTACAGGTGTGAGCCACCGCACCTGGCCTGTATTGTCTTTTAAGATAGAAAACAGGTTTTGCAATTTATCAGTATTTATGCCCAACATGGGGCAAAGCCAGTTAATATCGCCCAGTAATTTTTAATAATCATTTAAGGTATGTAAATTGCTAGTATTTAACCTTTTGAGGTCTTACTGACCTGGAAGTTAGTATGTATCCAAGATATTTCCAAGGAGAGAACATTTGTATTTTTCAGGTGCTATGATTAAATCTCTTAACCATATTTCTTTGGACAGAGGCATATAAACTTAAAAATACTGGCTTTGTTGGGGCTGCTAATAAAATATCATCCATAAAATGAATAATCTTGCAATCGGGAAATTCTTTTCTACTGGGGAGCAAAGCCTGATTTACATGATACTGACACATGGTAGGACTGTTAAGCATTCCTTGAGGAAGCACTTTCCAATGAATTTGGCAAGCTGGCCTTTCATTATTGATTGCTGGTATTGTAAACACAAATTTTTCTCTGTCCTGTTCTGCAAGGGGAATAGCACAAAAGCAGTCTTTTAAGTCAATAACGACTATAGGCCAATCTTGAGGAGTTGCTGTGGAGGAAGGGAGTCCCAGTTGAAGAGGCCCCATAGGTTGCAGATTAGCATTAACAACCTGTAAGTCAAGCAGAAGCCTCCATTTGCCAGACCTTTTGGGAATGACCCAAATGAGTGAATTCCAAGGGTTGTTAGATGGTTCTATACTGCCAGCTTTTAATTGCTCCTCAACTAACTCATGGGCTCACTGTAATTTCTCTCCCTTTAAAGGTCACTGTTCTACCAAAATAGGATTTTGAGATAGCCACATTAGGGGTAGGAGAGGAATAACAGTGGCTATTATTAGAAAGAGGCTTGCTGTTCACACAGTTCATCAAATTCTGCCCTCCAGAGGAGGTATTGACTGGCCTTTAAAGTTGTTTTAGCTAGCACTGACCAGTCCCATGAAGTCATATGGAAGTTATTGTTAGTTGCAGAAGCCACATGCTCTGGCTTCAATTAATCCTTTTGTAAATGGGCTGGCAGCTCCGTTTTCTCTAAAGCTTTTTCTTTTCTTTTCTTTTCTTTTTTGAGATGGAGTCTTGCACTTCTTGCCCAGGCTGGAATGCAATGGTGTGATCTCAGCTCACTGCAACCTCTGTCTCCCAGGTTCAAGTGATTCTCCTGCCTCGGCCTACTGAGTAGCTGTGATTACAGGCACTCGCCACCATGCCCAGCCAATTTTTGTATTTTTGGTAGAGACAGGGTTTCACCATGTTGGTCAGGTTGGTCTCGAACTCTCGACCTCAGGTGATCCACCTGCCTCAGCCTCCCAAAGCGCTGGGATTATAGGTGTGAGCCATCATGTCTGACCATCTAATGCTTTTTCTTATCTAAGTGTCAAAAGAAATGGGTTCATATGCCTAACTGCCTTGTTGATCTTGCGTTACCAGGCAGGCCAAGAGCTTCCCTTCTGATGCTGCTTGCCTAAGACAGGGTCCCATAGCTGTAGTGTCTCCCTTGTCCTTTTTCCAATTTATTGGGGGAGGGAGCTTGGGGGAAATCTCTATTTCCTCTGTGACACTTTTACCCAGTAATTGCAGGGCTGAGGGATAAGAAGGAAGTGGTAAGGTAGGTGACAGTTCCTCCTCCCTTCCCTTTCTAGGTTCTTCTGTGTAGAGCGGGGTCAAAGGAGCCCTGTCTAAGATCCATAATGTTAGAGTTGTTACTGGGACCCGTTGTCCTTGCACATGATGCTGTTTCAGACTTCTCCCTGCTTATTTCTAGAGCTCTACATCTAGCGTATCTTCTTCTGGGAACTGTGGATTATGGAAAACAACAGTTGGCATTAGGTCCCTTCATTGAGCCTGCGAAACCGAGTCTCTGCTAGCTTTAAGCAGTTGTTTCAATACTTTTATATACTATTTCTGTTGTGCTGATAACTGTTGTCCCATGATGAAAACCTTGCTTGAACAATTCCCCCGAACTTGAAAATCCTGAGCGGGCATCAATGACTTACTGACTGTGCAGTCTCTTCACCTTTGTTTTCGATGGTTCTGTTGCAATCCATCGCAGCGTTCCTCACGCAGGGGCACCAACCGCCCAGTCTGTCTTGCATACTCTGGCTGAGCGATGGATGAATGGAGTTCGTTACACAGGTATGTTGTTGCCTGTGAGCACGGCTAGGGAACTGTACAGCTTAACCCACCAACGAGAAAGTCTGGCCTCAATAAGCTGGAAATGCTCACATTTAGTTAGTACAGATTTATTAACAAAGGCCTAGAGCAAGCACCATTTGTGGGTAATTAACATTGTTGACCCCCCCAAATAGAGGACAGTCCTGTGTGCAGATGATCAAAGTTTGGTTTCCAGAGAAACAGGTAAACAAACCTATCTAGATAAATTCCTTTGTACTCCCTTGTTATCTCCCCTCTGCCATTAGCTCTAAGTAAGAGGATTAGGCTGCCTTCAGCCATAACCCTTTCCTGAAACTTTTGAAAAACTTCCCGGCCTTTCAAGAAGGTTTACATCTTTCCTATAATTTTTCCCACCACCCTGACCCATCTCCTACACATAATGCTTTGCAAAGTACTTTATCTAGTCTACCCTCCATATGTCACTTTTGTTAATTAACTTATCAATGTCCTTTATGGCATTTTCCCATCTCCGGTACAGGATTCAGTCTAGGGTCAGGTATTGCATTTTTTTGTCATTTCTCTCTATCCTACTTTAATCTGGCTTTTACAATGTTGATTCCCCCACCTGAACGCCCTCCACCACTACCCGCTGCCAATACCCTTTTTTGTTCTTCACAAATTTGTGTCATCTTTGTGCAGGGCAATGCTATCTTCTCTGTGTCATTTCAGTTTTCACATATCTGCTGCCAAAGCAAGCAGCACATGCCATCTTTGTTTGAATAGCATGTTTGTCTCATGTTTCCTCATGGTTGAACTGAGGTTATGTAATTTCAACATGAATACTGTCCTATCCAGGACACCACATCAAGAGCCACACAGCATCATCTGTACTACAGAAATGAGGTTAATTCTGATCACCTGGTCAAAGTGTTGCACAGTTTCTCCCTTGTTTGGTTACTCTTTTGGTTTTCTTCTCCCTCACAACTAATAAGAAACTAATAATATGTGGGGATCACTTTAAGATGATGCAGATATCCTAACGCAATGATTGTGAGTACTTTTCCCATGCCAAGCACTGTTCATTACAGATGTGGCCTCTTTCCATCCTAGGAGGGCTCCTTCATTTCTCATGACTACAAACGCATCTTCTCTTGGCTTGAAGCCCTCTCCTGGATGCACTGTATCAGGAGCAGGATCAGATCTGAGGTTGCTAATGCTGTGATTGGGAAGCTGCAGATGGAACTGGAGCAGAAAAAAAAAGGAAAAGAAGAAATGTTAATGAGGGAGTCCCACTGGGAGGAGGAAACTATATTCAGAAGCCTGGCTCAGCTCCAGGAAAGGGAGAAACAGACTGGAGGGGCTGGGAGGTCAGGGAATTAGAGTCACTGAGTCATACTAGTGAGGCAGGCTGTTGCTCTGTGAAACTGAGCCCCTGGCTTCCCACACTCTGTAGGGTCAGCAGCCTGGGCATTTTCTCTGTGGGGTTGTCAGTGGGCAGTGGCAACCTGGAACATCTAAGAAACAACCCTCTAGAGCAAAGCCAGTGGCTGCCAAGGCTTTTAAAAAGAACACCCCCCCAAAAAAAAATCCAACAGCTTCATGACAAAGCAAAACAGGGGCTTTAATTGTTTCAGAGCCCCAGAAGAACCATTTGAACTGCTGTCCAGATCCCAAACTGTGCACAGCCATTCCAGGACCAAGCAGATGCCAAGGGGCCTGAGAGAACTGAGCTGGGCTGGAAGCACACAAGTGTGCAACCATTCACTGCAAAATTCTACCCAGGATCCAGACAGCCAGGTTTTCATCCAGCTCTTCTGCAAAAGAAAGCAAAGAATCAAATAAGGGCATCTTCCTTATTAAATTCTGTTGTATGAACCCCAAATAGGCTTAAAAGATGTCTCTGAAACAGAGCTACCAAGGAGCATTATGAGATTTCTGCCAAGTTGGGAAGGTGCCCTGGAAGGCAACAATGCAGAGACATTTTTTTGTCCATCTGTCTATTCATCCATCCACCCATCCCTCCATCCCTCCATCCATCATCTATCTGTTCGTTCTTTCATTCATTCAACCAATGAATATTTCTTTAGTAGCTACTATCTTCCTAGAGACCCAGGACACTGAGCTGGAGATGAAGAGGGAAGACAGTGTCCCAATAATAAAAGAGAAAATTGTTTTATCCTCATAGGGTGAATAGGGAAAATCTTTGCTTTTCCTGTCATTGAGAAAATGTATTGCTCTTAAGATCTTTGTAAATATAGAATCTAGACTCTTCTGAAAGAAAAAAACCTTCCTTTTCTTTCACTCTAGGAAAAGAAAAATAAAGAAACATAAGCTGACATTCATTAGAATCCACTAAACGGTGGAATTTCACCTTGACATTGAGCGTTAGAACCAGGACACAGCAGACCCCAGAGTGATTCAACACTTTTCTATGCCCTCTGTCTTGAGTTTGTAAAAATAGGTCGGGTAAGTAAGTGTGAGATGCCCAGAGGCTGGAGAAGGCTGAAAAAAAACTCACAGTCCAGCCTATCTGGGAGCAGAGGGTTAGGACGTGAGTGTGTGATCCAGGACAAGAGCACCTGCTTCCCCAACCTCCCCCCACCACCCCCACCCACAGCCTGAGGAGGGCCATTTGCTTGAGCAGTGTCCCAGTGTAAGGGATGGTTGGGTGCCTCTGCAGTCTTATGCTAGGAGACTTTGAGGGAACAGAAGCAGCAGGGCTCTTCCTGAGCCAATCTGCAGACTCCTGGGAACAGTTGAGATTTTTGCTGTTTAAGGAATTAAATGGTTGGGATCTCACTCACCCATTGAAAATACACCCCCGGATGATACTGAAATGTTGAGCCAGGGTTTCTCCTGGTAAAGAAAAATCTAGGGACTGGTTGGTGCATTGCAGGGAGAGGAAGCAGAGGAAGAAGCCCTGCTTGGAAGCCGTTTCTGCGGGATGGAAGTGTGACATCTAATAGCCCAAGGTCTCCTCGTGGGCAGTGTGCCCACTCACAGCCAAACAGGGATCAGAGTTCCCTCAGGGATGCGGAAGACCTCATTCTTTCAGTAATTCTCTATAAGGAATAAGGAAATTGTGAGGGTGTCTTCTGTCCCTCCCTACCACTTATCCCCCTCCTCCCCAGCCCTTCTGCCTCCCATCACAATCATTAGCAAATCTTTCCCTGAGATATTTCATGAGTCACTAATCCAAGTGACTGGTTCCATTTCCAACCATGCTGATGCCCGTGACATTTTAGAGCAAGTCAAGCACACCCGAAGCCTAGTCCCCTTGTGAGGTCCCTACCACCCACCACTGTAGGACATGGCCATGAATGACAAAATAAGCCAGTAAATCAAAGAGGCCAAAATCTATGTCACAAAATGTTTCACTTGTTTTATTTATTTATACCCAATCTATATTCAGAGAAACCCTCAGAGTAACTTTAGTTACATGTAAAATCTCCATGTGAAACACATTTACACTAACTTTATACATAATTCGAATAAGTTTTCTAAGCTCTAAATAAAAAGCAGCAAGTAATCAGATGTGGGGGAAGCTACTACAGACAGATAAACTGATCACAGCAGGAAATGACAAGTGCCAACAAGAGGGGAGACAGAAAAACTACTGTAATAGTCCCCAGAACTCAAAGCTAACTGCCTGGGCCCGTTTAGTGTGGGGTTAATTAACCCTTAGACTCTTGCACCTAATCTAGACTGGGCTACTTCTTGAGATTTTCATTGATGACCCTGAGTCACTAGGAGGAGGTAAAATTATGTACACTTTAAGGAAGTTGAAATGTATTTGTTTAGAAAAATCTTTGTCTCAAATCACTATAATTTTTGTGTGTAAATGATTGAATTTTCAAATACCTGGAGACTTAGTCATTTAGAATGACTCACAGCATGAGGCTCAAACAAGTCTGGGTATCAGGTTTGCAGCTTGAACACAGGTGTGTTTGGGGTTTTAATCAGTTGACTCTTGGTACAAATTATACTTCCCATCTTGAAGGGTGTAATTTGGGGCTCCACATAGACCTTCATTGCTATTAATGCAAATAGCATTAATGTGATTCACACAGCAATGATCAGAACTACAAGAACCAGATTATTCACCTGGAATCTATGTGGGCTTATAAACAAGTGACCAAATGGATTCAGTGCTTTCCCAAATGAAAAAAGACAATTTGGAAGTGTAATTCAAGGTGTTTGATCTAAATTCCAAGGCTGTCAAAATTATTATTTTTGGTTTGGTTGGTTACGTCCTAAACCCCTGGTATTGGCTGGCTGTAGGGCACAGTGGCCACTAGTCTTTGGCTGCTAAGCATCTAGTCTTCCTTGTTGCTGGTGGAAAGATGGGCTGTACTTCTCCCTACAGAAGCCAGAGGGGCCCAGGTGTCTTTCCTAGCCTGGAAAGAATGTGGCCATGTGACCCAGGATTGGCTTTGGCCTTTGAATCCACAGGAAGTAGTAATTGTTCATGATGTCTATACTATTTTAATAAGGTAGACTGTGAGTGTCAGGGTAGAGGGAAAATGACTGCCTTTGTAAAAAAAAAAAAGGATCTTGCAGAATAGACTTTGATGTGTGTTCGTGGCACATGGCATGTGTATAGTATGTGATGTGTGCATGTATGCGTGTCTGTGTGCACACATGAATGTGCATTTGTTTACTTGACAGAAGGATTTCTAGTGTCATACCTTGGGGAATGGGTGATGATGAGACAAAGAAAATAGAGACAGTAGGACCAGAAGAAACTCTCTATCTGCCCTTAACATAGTATTGCTTTGCATTTCTCTGATGACCAGTGATGATGAGCATTTTTTCATATGTTTGTTGGCCTCACGTATGTCTTCTTTTGTAAAGTGTCTGTTCATATCCTTTGCCCACTTTTGAATGGGCTTGT